TATGGATTTACAAATCAATTTTAAAGGTACATAGTGTTACATACTCATGCAAACACATATTCACTCACGCACGCACCACACACACATACACACATACGTACATTATGCACATATACGCACATACAAACTCACAACGATCTACAGCTTGGATGCATTCTGTCTAATCGAAATATGATGAAAATAGAAATGATATTAGTTTCTTCTTAAAGATTTCTAAATTTTCTGCTTTTCTGATAGTTTTTGGAAGCCTATTCCAAACAAGTGGGGCAAAATATGAAAAAGAGCGTTGGCCATATGATTCGTAATTTATTTTAGGCTTAACTAGGGTTGTTTTGTCACTTGATGATCTGAGCGTTCTAGGAGGCACATAGGGTGTTAAAAGCTGTTTTAGATAGCCCGGTGATAAATCATTTAAGCACTTGTAACAAGTTAAACAGATTTTATATATGATACGCTCTTTCACTGGGAGCCAGTGTAATGCTTTTAAAATAAGAGTCACATGATCATGCTTTCGTTTTTTAGTAATTATTTTGGCAGCAATATTTTGTACTCTTTGTAGATGACACAGGTAGCCACATAATAATATAAAACGTCAAGATGAAGGAACATTTCTGTAAATACGGCGATTAATTAACTTGTGATGAGTTGATGGCAAAGTGGTTTTGAACAACACGACGTTACCAAAATTTAAAAAGACAACAAAAAAATGAAGTTAAATATAATGTGATGTGTGTAGATCAGGGATGCTCTTTTATCCAAAGTTCTACTTTATAATTTAATCAAAGATCGAGATCGTTTCACGCTAAGCACAAGTAAATTTTAATTAATTAAATTACTACCAGAGACACTAAAATATAATTAAATACTCTCTGTTACTGCCTCGACTACATGACGAGATGCAAGGGAGATTGTACCTTAATAATTTGGCTACACACAATGAAACCTTTTCGTGAAGAAACATTTCCGGGTTTTGACGTAATTGAAATATGGCAGCTGACGCCGAAAGTTTGTGGTAAACAATACACCAAGGTAAGCATGTTTTTATTGTTTTGTGTTCCTTACCGTCTTTCATTGACAAATCACATCGCCTTAAAGTTATGATTGTCTTAATTTTTACCTAAGGGCGAACATTTATTGTCGCAGAGTGATTTATTAGATCTAGAAATCTTGATAGATAGGCCTATCTAGCCTAGCCGATTAGGCAAAATTTGGCAATGATATGCAATCTTTTTTGTTGACACTTCGAAAGTTTGAAACACATGAGCTACAGGGAACACGAAGCACACCTCTGACTCTGTGATTGGCCTAAATTAGATGGCGTATTTCCGCCATATATTTTTGTCGTCTTCCTGGCCTTTCCCCAAGACTCTGCGTTGGGTTTCTCTTGCCTGTAGTCTAGTGTAGTGTAGTGCTGTTGTAGAATGAAAGTGGCTATTCTCACCCGCCCGGAAGTTCTCGCAAGATCAACTCCTCCCCTCTTCTCTCTCTCTCTCTGTCTCTTTCTGAATACTGTCTATCAGTGTGGACGATCAAATTGACCAAAACAAAGTTAAAAAATGATGTTAAAACACAAAAGTAAATTAATTTGGTTGTCTACAAAGATGCTACGGCTATTTAACTTTTCGAACCGAGCCGAACTAC